AAGCTAAAATGCATGGGATTTTGGGATGCGATACTAACGAAACAAGTACTTTCTGCTTTACATTACCAGGGAGGTCTTTTATAGCTTATCCATCACTCTGAGGGTAAGCGAATATACCGCTCTAGGCAATGGCCCATCTTAACAGCATTTTGTGAAAGTGAAACAGACCTGTTTGGAGGGAGACAAAAATACAGCCGTTTTCAAAGCATTTTGTTCTGAAGGATCAGCTCGTGAATGGGTTAAAGAACTAGTATTTAATATCTGACATATGACAGCTTCTTAGACTTTCTTGACAGTTTTTCATGTTTTCAATATCCAGTATTTTCCTTGTAAAGCAGATATAACTAATTATATTCCTTCATAATTGGTCATTTCATGTTTAGCTCTTATTAATTTTATTACATTAGGATGATCGGAAGGAAGAATAATAGGAAATTGAAAATTTTCTGTATCAGCTTTTCTCAGAAATCTGGGTTGAAACTGAAGGATTTCATTAAAATTAATCATTGGCTGAAGTATTTATAAATTCAGAAATCTCTTTTCTAATCCAGAAAGTGATTCATTCTGCAGTATTTTTAGAAGACTTGGCTTCTTTCATTTCATCTGCTGTAATTTTTCCAAACATTCTCCCATTAAAACTTAATCTGACATATTTTACAAAACAGAAGATCCAAGAAATATTACCTTTAAAATGATATTGTATGAAGAAATTTTATGAAAATTAGGCTCCATTATTATATTTGAATTAACTGTAGAAATTTCAGCATTTATAATATCAAAGTTCAGCAGAATTTCAGAACTAGGCCATTGTTCTTAACCAGTGGGGACCCTCCCACCATTTCAATTTGACCATGATTTCCAGAATGCATCCTCAAGAAGGGAGGTCTGCTGGATTTTGTGTTCCAAGAGCATAGTTCCAGTGATTTGAGTCACTTAGAGTATGGATTTCTTTCACTCTGTTTTACACAAAAATGGTCCAGTTTTCCTCCCTTTTGATCCAAAATAATGCATCCATAGAGTCAGTTCAGTAGTAAGTACGTTAAAGTTTCTAGTCATAAGTCTTCCTTAATATGATTTGCAAGTCTAGTGCCAATCATACAAACAGCTCTAGTCATGGTGTGGAGATCGGCTTTAGGTGCCAATCTGGATCGAGCTGAGATGAGTTGATATGTAACTGAATTTTCATTACAACTTCGCATAAATATGTATGTGACATAAGTAGACTTACTCATGCCACAAAGCACATATAAAGGTAGTTCAGAGATTCTTTTAAAATTAGTGAAAATTCTGAGTAGTATAGCTATTTTTTCCAAATTATGTAATTAATTTTTCCAACTTCTGAATTTGTATGAAATGCTCTTGGTAAACTGATATCCCATGAAATCCTTTGTTTCCAGCATTATTTTTAGAATCAGAGTAACAGGAGCCATAAACTCAAACAGGTAAAAAATCTCATCAAGAATCCACTCATTAAACAAAGGCTCTTCTAGAATAATAACATTTTAAATTCATTACACTCAAACTAATTATTTCCACAGACACAGAAGAGAGTTATCAGCTACATATTTCATTCAAATTTCCATTACAAGTTCTAAAAGTTCTGGTTTCAAGGCAGCGTGCATGCACAAATCCCGTGACCTGAATCATTTGGTGAGAGTTTCAGCAGTATGAGTTTAGAACGATTCCACTGCTGTGATTTAGCGAAAATTTTGGGTATCTTTCCTGAGTATATTAGAAGTATATAAGTTTGTAGACCATTTCTGACATTGATTTTTGAGTTTGTGCTGGATTCTACCAAATTCTTTTTTTTTTTTTTAGCTTACATTAAGTAACTTATATGCGAAATTCCTTCCCATTTATGCTGTATATGTCATGCACTATATTATCTAATCCAGATGGCAGTTTTGAATTAGTTGAAAGTTCTGAATTTATGTTAAAAATTTGCCATTAAGATTTCCTTTGCTTCATAATCATCAATAGTACCTGTAGTCAAAAGCTGGAATTGCTGATTGATGCCATTCAGTTTTGAGAAATTCATGTATTAATGTTTGAATTCACTTATCTTAAAAATTCACCATAGTCTCAACATTAGATGTCATTACAGTGAATTTCAGGTAGCCTATCATTCTTGTTCTCTCATTTTGTGCTTTTATGGCTTCTAGGTTCCTGTCAATAATGGTTGCTGAGTAGCATAAATAAAATTTCATTAAAACGTGCACTAGCATGAACAACATCTACTACCTGAAAATAAAATGTGAGAATTGTTCACATAGACAAAATCTGCTGTATGAAACATTTAAAGCTAAGAAAGGCTTGCAGCCTACATTCTCGGCATGGTAGGTATCTCAGTACAATGAGCTAACTCTCTAGGTAACCAGGTAACCTATAAGTATATGAAAAATTTATTTATACATAGTGGCTAATGGAACTTGCTAGGATGTGAGTGTTCAGACTCTGCATACTGCCAATAGGTTGCTTTCACTGATGTTTTGGCACATGTATTGATTGCTATGAGAAAAGTGTTCACCAACAGTGTATAAGTAGCTTTTAGCATCTCCATTTTACTTTTATCTGTCTACTAAATTCTTTCATTATATGAATAAGCTATGGGTGCTATGCATATTAGCATTTTGCTCAAATGTTTATATTATATTTTGTTTGATATAATAATCCAAGCACCTAAACTTTCAGAATGCTGTGAGCTTGTCCCTGGTTCTTTTCCAGCAACTGTTGCATTTTTTTAATGTTTTTTCCATATGCGTAAGCTTAATATTCACAATATTGCTTGAGAAAGTCCTCCTTTGCTTAAGGAGATAATCATTATGTGCTATGCCATAATGAATTAACCACCTGTCCATCCTTAGAAAAGGTTCAGTCAATAGTTAATGATTTGGAATGATTCCTAATAGCATTAGTTTATTATTGTGTTATTTTACATTCCATAGCCTTTTTTTATGGCAAACTTAAAGGAGATTCAATGACTACATGCTGAACCTGGTAGTAATGTTACTGCATATCATAAGAAATTTCAGAAAGTTGCTGGGAATCAATGACCTAAATGTAAGTAAAATACCAAACATTTAAAAAAAGCAAACTTGAATAATATATTTAATACTAAAAATATCTAAAAACTTTTAGAAGTAGGTTAAAAACATTTTTCCTTCATTACCTCAGCTGTAAGCTATAAGGTATACTGGAAAATTTTGCCCATTTGGAAAGTGAAGGAAAATAACACATTTTTCATCCGTTAAATATTTAATGTATAATTTCCATCATTACTTAGGATGTCTTGCCAGCATGATGGTAATTTTTAGATACCATTTTTGGGAAAATGTTGTTTCCTTAGAGAACTCAAGCAGTGTTTGGATGAAATCTGCTTCAATTTTTAATTTTTTCTATTGAAAAAAATTTGGAAGGAGAGAAACAAGTGATAATCAGAGGGTGGTAGGCTGGAGAGTGTGGTGGATGCATCAGAATTTACAAACCTAGCTGTACAATTTTGTGATGAATCAACAAAGCAGCACATGAGCTGGCATTATCATGATGCAGTATGATGTGCTTCCTATTGAGCATCACCAGCCTCTTTGCCTTGACTACTTAGTTTAAATCATTCATTTGTTGACAGTAGCTCACTTGAGCATTTCTTTAGGTTTCAAAAAGCTCGTAAGGTATTGGTCCCTCAATGTCCCGTCATGAACATAGCATTCTCTTATTAAGGCTCATATTTGGTTTAGAGGTAGAAGGGATATGTTGTTCAGGCTCACAAAGTAAGCTCATTTCCTTATGGTGTTTCCATTCTTAATCCTTGTTTCATCTCCAGTTATCATCTGGTCCAAAAAAAAATTCACTTTTATACTGAGCAAGCACATGTGTGCATATGACGACTTCATGTAAATTTTTCTCACTTATGAGACACCTAAAATATATATAGACCAATTCTATTTTCTAAATATGGTCTAAAATGGTTTGTTGAGCTGAATTAAGTTTTCCCATTGTTTCTATGTTGTCAGAAAAATTTATTGCTCTATCACAGTCTTGACAATGTCATCATCATCAAAGATTGCAACCTAGAGCGTGCCTTATTGTCAGCGTCAAAATCATCTGCTTCAAAATTTTCTCCTGCACATTCTGTTCGAAACTGCATCTCCATGAAAAAATGTCACTAAATTTCAACATGCTTCTGTAGCATTTTGTCCTTGTTGGTATTTGCACAAAATGCAGTGTCTTAAATGAACTTTATTGATAGCCATTTTTACGTGATTACATCTCACTTAATAATGGTACATGAGACACTTTTGTTTCAATTAATTTAGAAGAGCAGATGGAGACAGCCATACATGTCTCACATGCCTGCATGCTTGCTAAAAAATGAAATAACGTCCTCGAACAGAACTTTCGGGCAGACCATATATTTCTTAACTATTTGTAGCCAGTTTAAGGTTTTTTTTTGTGCTGTTAGCAACTTCTAGTTTTGTTTATTTGAATATTTTGGTTTGATTTTGCAATTTTCTTATTGTTTGCATTATATTTCAAAAATGAAAATAATTTAAAATTTAATAGTAATTTTTCATAGAAATGTTTGTGAAAAGTTGATTAAAGTATGATGCATATTTTCTGATTTACACCCCCATGAAGAGCAGTTGTGATATAATAATTAAGTTGGTTGAGAATTGGCAAAAAACATTTGTTTATGTCTCATGAGTCTGTTTGTAAGTAATAATGAAAGCATGCATTATACAAGAAGCAAGAAATATTGCTGTTCAGTGAAATGATTGTTAAAGATAAAGCATGTAAATTTGTGTACTAAAACACATGCATTTTAAATTTACATGTGAATTGGCTGTTATAATATATATATTCAAAAATCGGCCAAAAACGTGGCTGTTCTTCAGTGTTGTAACTGGGGACTGCAAATAATCAGAAAGTATCATATGGTTTATTTTCACATACTGACTAAACTTTAAACTTCAGATGAGCTTTTTTCCATTTTGAAATTTCAGTGTCGCACAAATCCAAGGACAAGTATTGACAGCATGGATGTAAATGTGAATAATCCATTGTCACAGTCTCAGCAGGTATCTATGTCACATTACATACCTTATATTATTAAAATAATATGATATAGTGATTATTTTGTCATTTTTCAGCATATTTTAAAAGCTACACAAGCAGTAAGTTTTCAGATGTTGTAAATTTTGTTCATGCTTCTTTAATAATAGGGTATGTAGGTAAAATAGTGTTGTGGTGTTATCTAAATAAACAGTTTGAGCAGAAACTCTTGTGTTTTGAACAAGCTAAAATTTCATTAAATAACACTAAAAAAAGTAATGAAAGTTAAATAAAAGTACTTTAAACCTATTTTAAACATGTGGAACTTTTCTTGTTATATGAATATTGTTTCTAAGACAAAATTTATCTGTTTGTAGCAACAATCATACACTCTGCATAAAGCAAAAGATATTTTAATACATTCAAAAAAATTTATTTATTGTAATATACATATCTGCTTTGCTTTCAATTTTTAAGTATATCTGCATACTATATTGTTCTTAAACATAATGCTTTTTCTCAGAGTTTTGTTTTTGCAGTTAACTGTAATACAGTCCTGTTTTTAGAGTCCATGGAACCAGTACTTTCAAGATAGTGAACTTAAAATAACCATACAGCAGGATGTTGTACGAACGTAAGTAAATGTTTTATGAATTTCTTCAAAGCTTTAATTATTTTCAGTATTTTTCAGTCATTTCAAATGTTAAGTTGAGATTTTTTAGTTTTCCAGAAATAGAATTTTTTCGTTCTCCAAAAATTCAAAAAATGATGATCAGCATACTTTTTTCTTATGCTCGAGAACATCCACATGCATCTTACAAACAGGTATGAAAAGGCAATACACATTGGATTGTAAAAATGCTTTTATGTTTGATTTAACATTTATTTCAGGAACTATAAATAAATATTGTTCTATTAAATATAATTGCTTAGGGAATGCATGAACTTCTTGCACCCATCATATATGTGCTTCATTGCGATCAACAGATTTATTTGCATGCATCAAAGTCACAAGATTTAGAGTAAGTATTATTTGCTTTCATAAGCTGTCTGATTCAGTGTTATGGAGGAAGTTAACTACTTTTATTTTTTGTTTCTATTCTTTAGGCTAGATATTCATATTTTGTTGAACCAGAATTATATGGAACATGATGCTTTGTAAGTATATGTTTTTCTTAAAATAATTCTTTGTTCGGTACAAACAGAGAATATTAGTTATGGAATATGATTTGTTGAAAGGTAACTGAAATAACTGTAACTCAAGTGTGGCAGAGAATTCATTTTTTAAAAATAGAACTTTAAATTCCCCAGCAACTAATACTTAAATTCAAGGAAAACAAAACAGTGCTATTTGAAAAAGAAGGGATGGAGAAAACTGCATCACTTGGTATTCAAAGCTGTTCATCATGATTATTTTTTATTTTAGACTATTAAAAAAAGGAAATAATTACGTTGCTACCAAACCAGTTGTAAATTTTATGTTGCAGCACATTTATTTATTCATATGAATTTCATACTGTAAACAGAACATAAAATAAATTTATTGCTCGTAAAAGACATTTTTCAGTATTGTGGAAGTAATTTTGCACTAATGTCTTTATAGAAAGGTTTTAAAAAATTCCATTTGTTTACATGGAGGGGCAGAAATCATGTAGTAGAGTTCAAAGTCCTAAATAGGGACATCCAGTACCCAGACCTTAAAACCTCCCAAAATAAACAAACAAACAAACAAACAAAAAAAACTTACAAATCTAGGGATGGAGAATATAACACCCAACTAAAAAACAATGTATGCTATAGAAGCAGTTTTTTTTTACGTGGCTAAGTGAAATTCCTGTACTTTCAAATGCGCCATGACACTTAGCTGGTGAGACACTTAGCCAAGAGAACATTTAGACAACCATATACATTTAGTAAATAGGATATTTATCCAACACAACCAGCATGACATTCAGCCAACAGGACGTTAAGTTGAGAAGGTATTTAGCCCACAGCATGTTTTACCCGGCAATATGTTTAGCAGATGATGCGTACATGCAGACAAAAATATACAACAGTGTTTCAGTAAAATGTGTCCATATTTATCAGAACAATTCCCAGGGTGCACAATGAGAAGGTTTATGGAGAAGTACCCCTTTTTTTCATTTATTTAATACTATATAGAGTTTAAATTTAGACAGAAAAGTAACACTAAGTTGATGTGCATTTTGAAATCAATTTTGAGATCAGTTAGATGTATTTGTCTATTTCAGAAGAGGGAAGGATGTTAGCTTTTGGAGGAGGGAAGTGATTTTGTATGGGAAGCAATAGGTGGAGCCAAGTGAAAACATATGTAGTATGATCTGTTGAGGAAAAGAGTCATAAAATGTAGAAAAGCTAAGCTATTAGAATTTTAGAAGTGTTGAAAATTTAATGTCATTTTTTAGAGAATTTTTGTTAATGTGAAAGGGTTCAAAGATATCCAAGCTCATGAAGATTTACGGGTAATTTTCGGCAATTCAAAATCAAAAATATGATTGTGCAATAGTGATTAGCTCTCAAAAATTTATTTATTTTTCCTTTTTGAGCATACAGTTCATGTTCTTGGATGAGAAATTTCGACACTCTTTCGGTTTGGCTAATGTGTGATGTTAAACCACATTCACATGATAGGCTGAAAGACTGAAGATCAAAGATGAGATCTTTAGGAATTGGGCAACAAATAGTGCTAAGTGAGAAAATGACTTTGTAGTTAAACTTATGGTGAATCTGAGCAATTCTGTTATTGATAGAGAGATTAAACAGTAGCATGGCAGTGCTGTTAGGATTAGTTTTGATTATGAAATGTGTTTTATCTCAACAAGAGGTAATTCTGATTTGTTTATTTAAGTACTGTTATCTGCTGTGTGTTTTTTCTTTTTTGTAATTTGTAATGCATTTTTTACTATAAATAATTATTAAAAGGTATTTTGCAAAATAAAGCTGTTTTTATGGTATGCTAAAGATTCATAAATATATATGCAAGTTAATAATTAAAGTAATATTTATCAAAATTGAGCATTTGGAACAGATAAATCCAAACTTATGTAAATGCTTCATATTTTTAATGAAGCTTGAAGGTAAATACTTAAATTTAAGGTAAATACATAAATCAAGTTGGTAAATTTGTAACAGGAAGCATAAAATGAAATTGTTAAATTTATACAATTTGTATTTTTTGCAATTAATATATTTTAGGTTTGTATAAAAGCGTATAACTACAAAATGGAGCTATTTATTTTCTTTAAAATTGCTCTGTTTTTGCAGCAAAATGTCATGGATAGAGTAGAAAAGTGAAAGAACTCCATTTTTATAAAATACCCATACATCTAATTTGAAATTCTTCATTGTTAAACACATTGTTAAACTTCTTCACAGTAATTTTCTAATAATTTGCTATATATGCTGCTTTAGAATTGTCATAGATAGCACATACTGTGTATTTTATTGAATTCAACATGGGTAAGCACAGGTCTCATATTTCATCAAAAATTTTTATAACTTATTATTTAGAAACATATTTACATAACACTATAGAAACATTACATTTCATCAGCGATATTATGGACATGTTTTGATCTAATATACATGGTTGCCATTTGCAAAACGAGTTTCATTTTCAAGTAGTGGAAATTCCCAATTTGACTTCTAATATTGCCCATAATTCTTGGTCTAGACCTGATTACGATAATTCCCTTTTTTTTTTTTTTAACACTCTCTATGGAAAATAATCATGTCAGTCTGCCTACTAAAAAGTATTTCCTTTTTACTAAAATATATATCATGCTCTCAAAATTTGCTTTTCAGAATGCTTTCTGAAAAATTTACTATTTGAAATCAGTTTCCATTGAGAGATTTTCTTCCATGGACAGAGATGACACTTTTCAGAAATGTTCCTCTTGCCATCATAAAAAACCTTCAGCTATTAAAAATAATCCTGACAATCTTGTGATCAAAATATCTCATCTCTCTATTAGTTACAAAATTGTTTGGATTCTCCACGAGTTCAATTTTAAGGTTGTCTTTGCAACAATTGGTAGAATTTGTTCAGCTCTTAAAGACCAAATGTTTGATTTTATTTCATGTGGAATTTAACCATATGTTTTCAATGCAGTTTGACATTGATCATTGAAATTAAAAGTGTGTTAATAATTTTGCTTCAAAGACCATGAAACATTGAATTGGAAAGGAAAAATGAAATCGTTGATAACTAATCACAGTCATAATTTTAACTTTTTTTATAAAAAAATAATTCTTGATTCTTCTTTAATTCATGAATTAGATTTTCTTGAACCCTATCATTTTCACTGACCTTTCTTCTTCTTCAATTAGTAGCATTAATTTCAATTCAGTTTTTCTTGCCATAAATATTGCATTATTTTTACTAACTTCCATATGTATTTATGAATTGCATAAAAAGTATAATTAATAACAGTATTTAATAAGCAACTAAGAAGTACCTTTTCACATCATGAGACACATTTTGTAATTAGAAATAATTGTAACAGCACTGTCATAATACTATTTAATTTTTCTATTATTTTCAAATTGGTCAGATTCATGATAAGTGATTTGTTTGTAATGATGTTAGAGAGCACTTCTCTTTTGTTTACTGAGAATTTTGTTTAGTTTGTGATTTGGCTTTGATTAAGGAAGTACCATCAATGCTGACTGAGTCTCTGAAGTAAATGATTTAATTTTGTAAATGTAGTTTGTTTTCCCTTAATTTTTATATATTCTTGGTGATCTGTGCTTGGAAAATGAAAACACTTTTGAGCTACTGTCATCTCAAGATTATGTAACCAGTTTGGTGTCTGTGTTTGGATTTCAATGAATGTGGCATAATGTCTTCAGTGATGTATCTTGCATAGGGAAAATGGAAGTTATCTTTTGCTTTTATCAAGTGGATGTGCTTATTTTATCTTTTGCTTTTATTGGATGGATGAAAATAAGATTAAACCTTAATCTGCAACAAGGTAAGCTTTACTATTCTTCATTTTTAATAAGTGGGTTTTGTATTGCACATTACTTCTAATTCCTCTTCTTAATGCACTTAAAATCAAAAGAGAAACTTAGTTAAATGAAGATATCAAGTTAATTTGAAAAAAAAAAAAAAAAATGTTAGAAGTAATTTTGAAATGGAAATACTAAAGGCTAAATGAACTGCTATTAGATTTCGTACATGAAGATTAATTTCTAAACTCAAAACTTAAATCTTAGGAAATGAAACAGAAGAAGAGTTGCATTGAACTTTCAGGACAGATAAAATTTGAAATTTAAGCAGTTATAAGAGATTGAAGCTGACATTATTGAATGTGATGAGTAAAATTTGTTAATTGTGCATATAAACTGAAAGCAAAGATTCTGATACTAGTTTGAATCTCTGATAGACCAAAATGAAGATTCTGGGACACAGGAATTCTGGGAACAAGGAATCCTGTGGCTTGTTCATCAGTGGGATCATTGTGCTCAGGTCTATAGTGTGTATTTTGAATAAAGTCTACATTTGTACCGACTGTGTCGTTTCGTACCTTTTCATTTGATTACCCCTTTTATGATCGATTTCGAAATGCTTCCAGTTGTTTTTTAATTTCATTGAGCAGTACATCCAAGAATCTGAATATATTGGGAGTCATTCATTTAATTTGTTATTTAAGGAAGGAAGCACTCATACATTCCTCAGGAGACCATTTTATCTCCATTTTAATGCTTTGAAGATAATGTCGAAAATGTATGTCAGTGTTGCAATGCCTGACAAAGATGGCTTCGACCGAAATATTGACCAGAGAAATTCTGCCTCCTTACTCTCAGATTCTGGGGATAGTCATTACCGATGACCTTCCCTGCCCCTTGTCCAATGACATTTGCACTGCACTCATTAATTCCCCTTAAATTTTCCTCAACTGTGGAAAGCTGGCTAATGGTTAGCTCAGGCCAAAAAACTTTTGATGTTTTTTGCATAATTCAGTTGCTCTCTAGAATTCTGCATGAGTACTCCCATCTGTAACATGCAAAATGCAATGAAAATATAATCAATAAAAATTTCTTAAGACTAAAGGAGAATATTGAAAGCAGTATGCACATTAAAAAGAAAGAAAGTCATTATCACAGAAGTGCATGAATGAAAAATTAACAATCAT